AAAATAAAATTAGTAACACACCTTGCCAGGTTGTCTTCTATAAAATAAGGAATGACTTACCCTCATCTTGCAGTGTAAGAGAGTGCCCACTTCTCTCTCTATTATCAAGCGTGAATATTTTTCATTTTTAATGTTCTTTGCAAACTCAGTTTCTATTTGTGTACTAATAGTCTGAACATCAATTCTTGAAATATAATGAACATACTGTTTTAAAAATAATCTTTAAAAATAATGCATACCAGAGTTAACAAGATATTTAAGGGAATTGCTAGAGACAAAAGGATCTAAAAATACAGCAGAGAGTAAGGATGAGAGGTGTGATAGACAAGCAGCTGACTTCTCCCCTGCCTCAGAGGAAGCTAGAAGATGGCAGAATAATACCTTCAGCAGTGCTGTGAGAAAATAAGTCAAGCTAAAATTGTACACTCAGCAAAACTATCTTTCAAGAGCAACATTATTCCGTAGAGAGGATAAAGAGAGTCAAAAGTTGATTTTGTGAAAAGAATATCAAGGCTGACAAACTGCTGGCAAGCAAAAAAATAATAAATAAAAAAGGGTCTATAGTTTTAGGTGTTACAGAGAGTTAAACAATAAGCAAATAATATAAACATTTTTTTAAGCAATTATAAACCTATTACAAAATTAAACAGGGTCTAAATAAGCAGGAGATATAATCTGGAACTTGGTGAACTTGTTCTCCAATGTACATGAACGAATGAAAGAGCAAAATTGAACAATCTACCTAAGAAGATGTTGTCTTTTTCTAATACACTGTAGTATTGGGTAGTGTTAGATAAATTGATTAATGCCCCAGGTAATAGAGATCAGTGAGGCAAGGGCAAGCTCACATATGGTGGTGGAGCAGCTGGATATCAAAGTAAAGAAACATGAAAAGCGTCCTCTGTTGCAAACCAAATTAAAAAAGGAAAAAATAAAAATTATTAAAGATTTGATGGAAACTTTACACCCTTTGTCTTAACCTGGATTGAGACGGAATGCGTTCTTCTTAGTAAAGCATCACAAGAATGGAGAAGCAAGAATCCCGTGTGCTCAATTCTAATACGAAGGCAGTAGGTTACTTAGTACATGGTGGGGTAGGCGTATGAGGGAGCTGGGGAGAATGGATGAGGGTGGGGTTTGGGGTGTCATGGTGTATGGCACACTTCTTGGGGGCGGGATTGTAAGAGGGAATTTAGTTAACAAATGCAATCAGGGTAACCTAATTCTTTGTACCCTCAGTGAATCCCAAACAATAAAAAAGAACCAAAAAAATTATTAAAGATTTTAAAAATTATGTAAAACTTTAAATTAAAAAAAATTAGTTTCTTAATAGGGAAAGCTTTCCTTTTTTTTTTTTTTGTTAAGAACACAAAACATATAAATCACAGGCAGTGTCTGTGGCTCAAAGGAGTAGGGCGCTGGCCCCATATGCCGGAGGTGGCGGGTTCAAACCCAGGCTTGGCCAAAAACTGCAAAAAAACAAAACAAAAACATATAAATCACTAGAGTGAATGCTTCCTAAATTTGAAAGTAGTAAAATAGGAATTTGATGTTTATCAGAAAAAAGAAAACTACTAAAAATAGTGATAAGACAGCCACAAATAAGGAGAAAGTATCTGGAACAAATAAACAGTGAAAATTACTACCTGAATATATATATAACTCAAAAAATCAGTAAGAAAAAGTACAAATAGAAAATTCATGAAAGTCACAAATTGGTATTTTAAAGCACAAACATGAAAGGCCAGTGAAATATTGCAGTGATGCTCAATAGGAATAATTAAATGAAAATTACAATGGGTAACAATTTAGTATTGACAACAATGAGAAGGCCAATGTAAACGAGGGTGTGGAGCAATGGAAACTTTTCATACACTGCTTCTGAGATTACGAATGGATATAACTGCTTAGAAAACAATTTGGGATATTCTTGTAGAATGGAAGGTGTACGTACCCTATGAATTACCTGTGGTACTGTAGATACTTTTGCGAAAGTGCACCAGAAGTCTGCCCAGAAGAATATTCACTGTAGCTTTATTTTTGTAACAAAAATCTTATAAATGATTTAATTGTACACATAAAAGCAATGAATAAATAAGCAATAGTTATATTGTGTTAATACTTCACAGGGGTGAAAATGAAAGAGCTAGTGTTATAGTTATTAACATATGCATCTCACAAATGTAGCATTCAACATAAATAATACAAATCAAGAAAAATTATAATAATAAAATGGCACTCTTGTGAAAATAAAAAAAACCATGTAAAATTAAGTGTGTCTATTAGGAATACATACTTGAGGTTAAGACATGAAGTTTAAGATGATTTCTTTTCTGAATGTATTTATCTTCATTCATTCTTCACGAGGTGTTTCTAGTCCTTATCTTAAACATTGCTATTGTTGGTAAATTTTAAGCCTATTTAATTCTGTGAAGGCAAAAAGTGGAAACCTGATAATCCCATGTCTATGTAAAAATAAAAAGAAAGACAAGAAATGAAGAAATCATAAACATGAAATTTAAAATATTGGCTGCCGCTGACAGCAGGCAGGGTACAAAGTCACTACAGGTTCTACTTTTTAGTTGGAATGAGAGCACTTTTTCGATATTTCTTATACATATAGTTCATTTCCAGTATTTACTTACTGTGAAATATAACATATATAGAAAAACATAGAACATGAGACCAACACGTGCAGCTCCGTGAATTATCAAAAGCACACAGCTGTATCATCACCCCATAGATCAAAAATAAAACAGGCAAGCATCCGGGCAGCTGTACCCTGTTATCCTCAAAAGATAGCCACTACTTTTGTAGATTTGTTATCTACACCTGCTCCCCTAAACCCCATTGTTTTATTTTCTTCTGCTCTCTAGAACGAATAGCAATGACATGATACAGAATTCATTCTTTCGTGTCTGGCTTCTTGATCAACCCTGTGCTGATGAGATTCATACTGTTACATACATTGTTGAATGTAATAGCTATGATTCTTTCATTTTCATTGTCATGTATTTTATTGCGTGATACCTCACAAATTGCTATTCAACTGTTGAGGGATTTAGATTTTTTTCTAGTTTGGGATAATTATAAGTAATCATACCATATAGTTTTGTCCATGTTTCTTTGTACATTATTTCTCTTATATGTTACTAATCCTAAAAAGACTAAACTATATGGTGTATATATTATATTAATCACTACATAATAAAAGAGTGTAAGATATTGTCTCTGCTAAATTAATAAGCAGTGAATGGTATTATCCTAATGTCACTTCTTTGATTACGGCTTGTGGCTTTTTAATACTTTAACTTGAATATCATTGTGAGTTGTTATTGATGCTCTTTGCCCAGTTTTCATTTGTATGGTAATCTTATTTAGTAATAATTAACCCTTGCACTATCTGCCTCGTGGAAAAATATGATTTTTACCATTAGTTCCCCATTTTGCTTTCTGCCACTTATACTGTCTAATAGTTTGCTTTTTAAGTTTTCTTTTCTTGTGATTGTAAATTATATGAGGACTGTAAACATTTTTAGATAACCAAATCAACAAACAAAAACTGTGAAGTATAAGTAAAGATTACAGGTATTTTAATTTTCCTCTTCCCAGCTAAATATTTGGTGCATATATTTTGTAACTTTCTTGTTACATATTCATACACACACGTGGTATTTTTATTTTGTGTGTGTGGTTTGTAGCTTTTTTCTTTTTCTTTTTTTTAGAGACAGGGTTTCATGCTGTCATCCAGGCAGTGCCATGATCACAGCTCACTACAACCTCGACTGTTGGGCTTATCTGATCTCCTGGTGCAGGCCACTCCACCCAGCTAATTTTTTATTACATTTTGTAGAGACTAGGTTTTCCAAAGTTGCCCCAGCTGGTCTCGAAGTCCTGGGCACAAACAACTCTCCAGTCTTGGTCTCCCAAGATGCTAGAATTACAAGCATGAGCCACCATACCTGGCTTACACACACAAATAGTTTTATAAAAGGGGAATTGTTTTTTCTGTCTAATACAATGGTTCTCAACCTTCCTAATGCCGCAACCTTTTAATACAGTCACGAGCCACTGGTTGAGAGCCTCTGGTCTAATAGGATACTGTTTTCTTTCCACCAGTCAATATCATTTATGCCATCATTTTAAATATTTAAATGGTATTCTGTTGTATAAATTTGCTAATTATTAATTCAACAAATACTTATTGAGTCTCTTAATAGAAGTACCATTTAACATCACTATTTCGTAGTTACTTACAGTAAGCAATATACAAAATTCTTGGAAAGGTGGAGCTTGAATGTTAGTGGATAAACAGACAACAAACAAATTTTTTATATGGTAATCATAAGTCTGAAGAAGAAGAAAGGGAGCAAAGTAGAGGAGACTCATGAGTTGGTGTGAAGGCATAGGGTACTCAAGGACAGTCTCATAAATGAACATGAACTTGATTGAAGTATGGAACCCCACTGTGCCTGTCCTTGGGGGCAAAAATCAAATCTAAGTCTCCAAGATGAGTTGTTTTTTTTTTTTTTTTTTGAGTGTTGTTTTTCAAAACAATCCAACATTGGTTAATAACATTATTTACAGTTATTTAAAATTTTTAACAAATTTGAAAGAACCATTCTTGCTAAAATATTTCCTACATCTGTGCATGTGAGTACGTCTGTATGTCTTTGTGACCACAGTGATAGGAAGAGGAGAGAGTGTATGTTAATGGATGTTAATCTGATGCCGTCTTACTCCAGAGGCCTAATTCATATTCAGAGGAAAAACAAAACGTTGAGGATGAAAAAAAGTTTCCAAAGAATTTTAGAATACAGAACATTTAATTTAGAATGGAATTTTTACAGCTAACACCAAAACACTGGAAATGATTTACCTTTAGCTATACCACCGTTTGTGACTTTTTTTTTTTTTCCATGTCACTTTAACATCATGGAATTTTAATAAAATAAAGAGCAAGAACTTTGACACATAAATATTTTTTTCTGCCCCCTTAGGTTGTGGATAATGAGTCTTTCCCAAGGCCTTTTAAAGTCCTGCCTGTGAAGACACAATGGAGCTACGTTGGCTTCCATATCCTTCTGTTTGATCTGGAAAACCTCGTTGAACTTCTGCTGCCGCCCCCCCTCAGGGATAGTGACCCTTCCAGTTCTTTCTATGGGAGTGAGATCCTGAGAAGAGCCAAGAGCACCGTAGAGAAGACAATGACACTGAAAAAAAGTAGAAGTGCCTGTGGTCCTCTCTCAGCAGAGGCACAAGCCAAGCCTGTGAGTGAAAGCCTGGCCCACGGAGATAATACCAACAAGTTCGCAGAAGAAAATGATGGCATTAGAAGACAGAAGAAAATGAAGAGCTCCAAAAAGATGCACCTTAAACCACCCAGAAAAGTTGATGCCAACCTCACAATAGACACAGCTAAACTGTTTTTATCTTGTCTCTTACCATGGGGAGTGGATGAAGAATTAGACTATCTTTGCATGAAGCATCTCAATATTTTAAAGCTTCAGGGTCCCGTTTCTCTAGGACTTGCTTCAAACGAGGACCACTTCTCACTGATGTTGCCGGGTTGGGATTTATGCAATACTGAATTGGAAAGAGACGATTCAAGAGTAAATTTATTTTCTGGAAAAGTTTTGGACTTGTCAAGTAAATACATAGCTACTCTTCCAAATCAGCTTGTAATTCCAAGAGGACTGGAAAATAATTGTGATTCTTTGCAGGAGTCAAATATCATAGTTTATTTATTGAGCAGACTATTTTTAGTTAATAAATTAGTTAACACGCCTTTGGAATTGGCCCATGGAATTGACAGGTAAGACTTGGCTACCGATTTTGACTATCTAATTGGGGACATTAAAAAAATCATCATTATCTGATATATTCAGCTCTTCTGTTTTCCTTTCTGCCTTCTAATGGGGGAATAAATACGCAACAACTTCTTTGTTCAAAACATATTTAAAAAATCTTTCTTTTAATTCTTTAAGATTGGAGGATAATTTGGTAATACATTTATAGATTTTAAAATTCATTCATTCAACAAATATACATTGTTATAAAAATGTACCAAGGAAGACCTAGTGCTGGATGCTGAATGAATCAGTAGATACAAACATACACCTTGAAATGTGCCATACATGGTATAAATTAAGGATGAAAAAAGAACATTTAAGTAAATGCTTATGATGATATATTTTAAATATCATAAGGAAAAGAAAAGTTGGAAAATGTCATACCTCAAATTATACCATTAGCTCATATTTTGGCATATTAAAATAGAAGAGGGAGGTGGTGCCTGTGGCTCAAAGGAGTAGGGCACCAGCCCCATATTCTGGAGGTGGCGGGTTCAAATCCAGCCTATAAAAAAAAACAAAAAAAAAAAAAAAAAAAGAAGACGCTATTGAGTAAGTCATTTATAGAAATGACAATTTAGTAATAATAATAGTTATTTTTTGAGTGTTTAATATCTGCTAGGCATTGTATAATCTCTTTACATTCATGATTTCATCTAATAAGCACAACAAAGATGGGACATAGATATTATTGTTTTGCTGATTGTATAGATGAGGATGTTGAAGCTTATGGGGAGAAAGTATCAAACTAAAGGTTAATTCTGCTCTTCAGAGCATCGGTCTAATTCTATAGCCTGATTCATTACTAATCTCAACTGTCTGTTTACCTTCTCCCACTGTTAATATTCATTACAGTTTTTCATGGTCTGATATTTCAGCATTGAATTTAATTTACCCAATGTTTACTTACTGACCTTCTCCTATACCCTGAGTACTGGCTTCATGAAGAAATGGAAAATACATTTTGGATTTGGATAGAAACTCATTCAAATGATAAAGATAATGCCCACGAAACTGGTCGAAAACATTGACAAGTAAAGGGATAAGGACAAACATCTGTAGTATAAATAAATAGTATAGCTGATTAGAGCCAAGAAAATAATCGGTGTTACGTGGAATCATCAGAAAGGCTTTCTACAAGAGACATTATTTGAACTGCCCATTACAGGGTAGGTGACAGAGAGGCCCTGATGTTTCTGTCCTTTGAGAAGAGCGAAGTTCAACAAAAATCTGGGCCAGGCACTGTATAAATAGATTTCCTGCCCTCAGTGAGCCTCTAGTCTGGTGGAAGTCCAAAAGGATTATATAGAGCTCAATGTTATGCTTCTTTCCATTCTAATACTACCATGTTACAAGGGTTTTTAATTTTCTTTTTGATGGCCCTAATTATGAGAAAACAGAGAATGGTACATTTCAATGATTGACATATGGAGTTTTTCTCTATTTTCTTTTCATTTGTTTGTTTTAAATGCCTAAGTCTTTTTTTAAAAAATGGCAGATAACTTTTACTTGTCTCTTTTTTTCTATTGCTAAGAAAATTATACAGCATCAAAGTTTGGTTACAAAAAAAAAAAATGTAGTCTGCCTAGAGTCTGAAGAGCTAGGATCGGATCCCGGTTTGTTGTCAAACTGGTGATGTGACTTTGAGCTAGTCACTTAGCCTTTCTGGGCCTTATTTTCCTCTTTTCCTCAATGAGGTGGATGGAGAAGTGATCTTCAAGTTCTTAAAAACTTAGGCTGCTAATACATTTTATGTATTTGCCTCATCATGATCCCACAGAGCTGATAGAGGACTTAATTATTGCCTGCCAGAGGTTTTCATTCTGAGTTGGTTCCTGACAATACAGGCTGGAGATGGCATGTCTGGTGCCCTTTTGGGGAACTTAGGGGCTTTCAGCTTGCCTCCATTAAATGGCCTTTAATTGTTACCATACTTTTTAATTGAATCATAACTGTGTACATCGATGCATTTATAGGGTTCAGTGTACTGATTTGATATACAATGTGAAATGCTTACATTGATCTAAGTAACACACCCATCACAATTGTACTCTTTTAAAAATAATTTTGAAATGTACCATTGCATCATGCACATGTGGTGAGGTCCCCCCTCCTCCCACTTCCTCCCTCCCATCTCCCCTCTCTCCTCTTCTCTTCTACTTTCTGAACTATAGTCATGTTTACCACACTTTACTTGGTGGTTTAAAGAATTCTTCATTTAGGCGAGGCATCCTGGAACTTTGGGAGGCTGAGGCAGGTGGATTGCTTGAGCTCAGGGGTTTGAGACCAGTCTGAGCAAGATCAAGACCTATCTTTACTAAAAATAAAAGAATGAGCCAGGCTTTGTGGCAAGAGGAGGGCTTGAGCTCAGAGTTTGAGGTTGCTGTGAGCTACTTCACCACAGTACTTTACCCAGGGTGACAGAGTGAGACATAAAGAATTCTTCATCTAAACAAATTACAGAATGGAAGTGTCAGTATTAAAGCTTTCTCTAAATTGCTTCTTTGAGCTTCAGCAGAAGCCTAGATGACAGTTTTTGTGAAATCAAAATAATGTATATTAGATTTGTCATACCAAATTCTCCACACCAATTTGACCATTTTGTAAACATTTTGTTGTGGTTGTTAGGGCTGAGTAATCACTGTGTGCTTAGCAACCTTAGCAACTGTGTGCATGACTTCACTGAATTTTAACAAAATAACTGGCTGAAAATGAGAATATCCCTGATAGGATCTGAAGAGTCCTCTGATCCAAACATTGGCCTAGGCTGAAGTCTGCCTTCCTGAGGACCTGATGGACGATATCTTGGGCTGATGTCAACATATTAAGCTTTAAAAATGTGTTGCATTAGCCAGAAGTCATGTGACCTAAAGAGGCAAGGCCCCTCTTGTAAAAATTGGTCACCAATAATTACAGTAAAGTAAGATTTGTAATTCAACTGTGGCTAAGATTTTAGGTGGTCGTAAACTGGGGGAAAAGATTCACAAAAGATTAAGGTGGAAGGTGCTGCTGAAAATAATCTGTGTTCAGTTTTTCCAAGTGTGCTACAGTGGTCCTGTCCCCCATCTTCAATTTATTTTCTCCAAGTATTTTGCATACTTTAATAATATTTTTTAAATCTCTTTTTTCCCCCAACAGTTCCTTCAAAATGGAATCTGTACATTATAAGGCGAAAAGTCCTGGGAATGATATTTTGAATATCTCAAGCATCTATGGTTACTTAAGAAATGGTAAGGGAGTTACAGACATAGATAGGATCTGGCTCATTTCTTTTCCTGTGATATAAAATAACTAGTGAGTTCTTCTGTAACTGAATGGCAATATTAAAATAAATAACATCGTAGAAAACATAGATTTTGTCAAATGGTCTTTGAAATGCCTGAATGTCTGAAACTTTTCAGCAAGGAAATATTTATACATTAAATTAAGGTATTATGTGATTTATTGGAAAGTTTATTGTATGAATATCTTTATTACCAGTAAGTGATTATTATTAGATAATTTCATTGCTATTTCAGAAGACTGTATTCTTCTGGGTAACAATCTTGAATTCTTCTGAGTAGCAATCATTAAGTGCTTAGATAGTCTTTGGATGCCAAATGGCTAATTCATCTCCCAAACCTTCTTTTCCAAATCTTGAGCATCTTGATAAATGACAGTCCTAACCTGCCAATTGCTCAGGTCAAGAACTTGGGCATCATTTTTTTCCGTCCCATTTCCCTCAAACTCCACATCCAATCACGTCACTTCTACCTTCAGTAACACTCCAGGACCTGACTGTTTCTGACACCTGTGTGACCCACAGCCCCCACTCCCTCAGTGTCAGCCTTAATCCTGGCTAGCTAAATCCTGGCCAACTCTCTGCTCCTGTTCTTGGCTCCTACCTGCTATTCCCAACCAAGCAGCCAGAGAGATCCATTTGGAGCTATCAGAACCTCGCTTTTCTATTTATAACCTTTCACTGGCTTCTATTTCACTTGGAATAAAAGCCCCAGTGCTTACGTTAGCTCACAAGGCCCTCTGTGACCTGGTTTCTCTACCCATGTCACCGCACCCTTCCCCCATATGACATCATCTCTCAGAACTCGCCCCCTGCTTAACTTATTCTGACTACACTGGCCTTTTTGTTCATACCCAAGCATGACAGGCAGGCTTAGGACCTTCATATTGGCTGACCCTTACCTTTCCCCAGGTACCTGTGCCCCAATCTACTCTCTTTCTACCCCCCCATCTTTTAAATCTTGTTCAAATCCCACTTTATCACTGAAGGTGCCCTATCTCCTCCCCAGGACATTCTGCCCCTGTCCCTGCTCCTCTGGTCTCCACAGTCCTCTTCGCTATCTGACATATATCATTTTTTCCATGTGTCATCTGCCTCCTGCTTCTAAACTGTAAGCTCCATAGGGGATATAGTTTTATAATAATTTTATTCACTGCTATGTCCCCAGTTCCTAGAACAATGTCCCCAAAGAAGTAAGCAAATACATTTTGAACTAGTGGGTGGATGAAATTAATGGATGAACAAAGTTTAGGGATAGTGGCGAGAACAATGGTTTTCCAGACAAATGAAACAGATGGCGGAGATTCAAGATCTAGCCCTACTATCGACTGCTTATGTTCCGCTGGGGATGTGTTTTACCCTTTTAAAAGCCTTATTTACTACATTTGTAAAATGGGGATATGATTGCAGACTTAATGTGCATGTGGCCTCCAAAGCTGAACAGTATATAATCTGTAAATGAGATGACGTGAGTAACAGTCCACAGCAGCCCTCATAGGACTATTAAAAAGAATATTTTCAAGTGAGAGTTTATTAATAGCTTCCAATTATCTAGAGCCTAGTATGTTCCAAGAATCACACTAATGGATTTAAATATATTACTGCATTTAATATATAAACAACCGTGTACAGAGGAAAGAATTATTTCTGTTTTACTCTTCTAAAATAAACCAAAACAAACAAACAAAAAACTGAGGCTCAGCAAAGTTAGATGACTTACTCATAGCCAAACAGCTATTAAGTAGAGGGGCCTGCGTTCCAATCTAAATCTGATTCCAAACTCCCTTTCCCGTCCACTGTATCAGGGTACTTCTCACAGTTATGATCATAAATAGTGTTCTTTCTCTCTGGCCCCAGTCTGTGTTGCCTGCTCTCCTTAGCCAGTAGCCCTTATTAGGGTAAGCTATCCAGTCTTTACTTTTCATAGCACTGTAAAAGGAATTATAAGTTAAAGCTTAATCTAAGTTAAGGTCTTCTGCAAAGACTGAGAATTGCTAACCAGAGCTAAGGAGGTCCTGGCTTTCCATATGGCAACCCCAACCAAAGCTGCCTATGTGTTATTACTGAATAATCTCCAGGGTGTGTAGTGTGGTATGTATGATATTTAAAATTCAGTTAACAACTAAGGAAATGTGGGCTTTTTCTAAATAATAGGAAGATGTAAGGCAAAAACAAAGAACAGATTCAGTCGGTGCCTGTGGCTCCAGGAGTAGGGTGCCGGCCCCATATACCAGGAGTGGCGGGTTCAAGCCTGGCCCTGGCCAAAACTGCAAAAAAAAAAAAAAAAAGAATAGATTCATTGTATAAAGCTTAATCCTGAAGAATAAAGTAATACTCTGAGGTGTTCATTCTAAAGGGTCGACCGGAACCAGTACTCACCCTGTCAGCAGGTGCGATGGCTGAGTAATATTGTTAAGGCTGGGATGTTTTCTTTGTAACTTTCCCCCTGAAGTTGCAATTAAGTTTTTAATTCACTGACATCGCCAAAATGAGTTGGCTCTCCTTTCTACCACATATTAAAATTTTAATATCACATTAAAATGTGCAGTGAAGTACACCCCGATGCCAGTAAGTAGTTATAGTTGAAACCAATACTTAGCTTTGATGGTTGAGTCACAAGGTCAGCACCATCAGAGAAGGAGAAAGGAGAGAGTTACGAGACAATTTTCTCTTCCCTGTGTGTTCATGAAGAAACGGAAGATATGACTTCAAAATCTCAGTATTCTCTCTTAGTTATGTCTTATGTATGACTCTTGGTCAATTCAAATTTATGTTATATATGCTTCATAAGGAAAATATAATATCAATGATTGCTCAGAAGTTTCTTATGTATTTCTTTCATGTTCTTAATTTGCATTATATCAGATATCTCCGATCACATTTTCTTTGAATCCTAATGTGATAAATATGTCCATATGGCATATATTAATATATAAAATGGTGATTCAATGAAAAGCATATCAGACAAAAGCTAATTTGAATAGTTGATACCAGGATGTCAAACATCTATTCGTATGGTAATTTAAATCGGCAATTATAGTAACAATTTTCCCGCTAGCATCAGCCTTCATCCTTCTTTCCTATTTCACTCCCAGAATCTGGCTTCTAGATAATATACTTTAGCCATCAGAAAGTCTTAATTCATCAATTTTTCATCTGGATGATTCTACGTACATTTTCTTTTAATGAAAAGGCGCTTATTAAGTGCTTTTTTGTGTAGGGAACTGTTGGATACTCTATGGATCAATTTAAATAGACCAAGGCCTAGCTCATTCTTAAAATTTCACACTGAACATTAAGGCAAATAGATAAAAAGGATCCAAGAGGGCAAACTGAAAAGAAATAAGACATAACAAAATGAGTCAAATTAAAACATTAGTGCTATACGTATTGATCAGAGTGGTCTAGCTGGGTAAAGGAAGTCTTTCATTTGATTTGACAAGTGATGGATACTGACTCGTGGCAAGGTCACATTTCAGGAACCATTTCCATGGGGAAGGAATTGTAAAATTTGGTGATTTGTCTTGGGTTGGCAAAAAGATTCAAAGGTGGGTTTAAGGCGTTAAGTGAATTTGACTTGATGTACATACATATTAGTACAATTGTTAGAAACAATAATTATATATATATATATTAAAAGTCTTTCTTGCTCTGGCTATACATGTAAATAATCTGAGGTACTTTTACAAAGTATTAATGCCTGCCCTATTCCAGGATCTATTAAACCAGAATCTCTGGAAGATTGAACACTGATGTTTGTAAAATACAGAACAACACAGAACAAAACAACTGCCCAGGTGATCCTACTGTGTAGCCAGGCAGCCAACTTTGAGGACTCTTGGGTTACGTCTGATATTCTCAAGATACAAATGTGTTCTATACACTTATAGGTAAGAATGAACCGCATGTACCGGAGGCTGATCTTTCCCTTTTGAAGCTCATTTCTTGTTGGAGAGACCAATCTGTGCAGGTAAGATATAGTCCATGTTCTTGGAGTTACTGGAAGAGTTCCCGGCCACTGGGATTCCCTGATACCCCCCTTTACCTGAAAGTACAAGTAAGTAGTTACGTGTCTGTAGAAAAGGGCCTCAGAGGACAGGCCTAATGCAGAGACAGGGAAGAGGGAAGACAGAAGATAATATAAGCAAGGATGCAGGGGCGGAGGGAGGGAGGGTTAAACTGCCATAGGTAACTTGTGTCCACTAGGGTTTCAGTTTGAGGATGCGTTGTCTATCATTTAATTTCAAAATGTGCCATTACATTAAGTTACCTACTTATGGGAATTTGGTTATGTGAAATTAGACATCTTTTTTTTTTAATTCGGAGGTTACCTCATCTGTGAGTTGGTTTAAAGAACTGGTTTCTTCGATGTCCAAGTCTTTCTTTTTTTTAAAGACTTCTTTGGGGCTCAGAATCTTCCTGGCAGCTTAGTATATGTACTATAAATATCTGTGCGTTGATTAGGTAAATGTCTATCAGAACTTTATTTTTCATCGTGAATAAATCTCGAATTTGCAAGATGAGAATAGCAGTAACCCCAGTTACAAATGGTTATTCTCAGTTATAGGGAAGCAGAACAAACTCTAGGGATTGAAACCCTAAAACTAAAGGTACGTGGTTGGAATGGCTTTGGAAACTCACCCTGGCCCGCACATTCCACGTGGCTTGCCCCCAGCCTAATCACATCTCTCATCATTTTCCCAACCTCTTTCTGAACCTGATCTGGTCACCTTGGCTTTCTTTTTATTTTCAGAACACACAAAGCTCATTTATATCTCAGGATCTTACTGTTCTCCTGGGCTGGAACTCTCACTTCTCCATTAATCATCCAGATCTTTGCTCAAGATCTGTGTTCTTGGAGAAGTCTTCCCTGATCCTTCCAGCTAGCATTGCCACCACCCTCTCCATTGCCCTCCCCACCACCTTCAGTAACCATCATATTATCCCATTTTGTTGTATTGTTGTGACTGGTTTTAATGGAGATTGTAACGTTTTCTTTTTGTCTTGCTTCTATTTTGTCTTCTCACTGTTACATAAATTCACTGAGATCAGTGACCTTGTCTGTCTTACTCCCTCTTCTCTCACCAATGCTGGGAAAAATCCTAGACAGTAGCTGATCAACAAATCTGTAATGAATGAACCAATAGCCGTGCAAACAGCCTCTGCAATAATCAGAATAAACACTAGTGCACGTTAATTTTATCAGCACATTAGCAGTCACCTCAAAGTGAGATTCCTCCCCCCAGTAGCCAAAAAGTTCCTCAGTAGGGGGAAAAAATCCTTAAGGAAAAAGATACAAAAAAAAATTAATCTGGAATTGCTCTAATCTAAAGATATCCTGTAGCTGTTCATTTGATCTTCAAATAAATTGTAATGTGGTTTGGATACATTTGGACTAGCAGACCTTTAAGATTCTATAATTCTGTGACCTTATGCAAAATGCAGGCAATAGGGCCAACACTACCAAAGCATTTACTGTTTATGGGAAGTCCAAGCTTCAAAGTTCTTGCTTTTTTTTTTTTTTCTTCTCTCTCTCTTTTTTTTATTTTTTCTATTTGTTAAGAGACGCTGTATTGCTCTGTTGCCTAGACTGGAGTACAGGAGAGTGGTCATAGTCACTGCAACTTCAAGCTTCTGGGCTCAAGAGATCCTCCTGCCTCAGCCTCCTGAGTGGCTTGGGCTACAGATGTGCACCATTTTACTTGGCTAATGTTATTTATTTATTTAGATGAAGTATTGCTATGCTGTTCAGGCTGGTCTTGAACTCCTGGCCTCCAGCAGTTCTTCCCCCAGGCCTCCCAAAGTGCTAGGGTTATAGGCCCAGCCCCAAGTTTTCCTCTTGTCTCTGCTGCTACCCTGATGCATGACTCTGGAGAATACTATCAACTTGTTGATTATTCATCTCCCTCACATATATTGAGAATGAGAATTCCTGGACTCTTCAGGAATGACAGAGACTCACTAACCGCTTCAATAACCAATCCTGAGATTCTTCATAAAGCCGTTCATTTAAACAGTTAGTCAAATCATGTTAGCTTGATTTTTCTTTTGATGTATTTAAGAGCACTAGGTAATCACGGAACGCTTTAGTAAAGCAGGACTATCCATGTCATAAATGGAGAGTTTAGCTTTAAGGCAGGAGGTAAGAATGAGTTAATTTTACAGATTGAATGAGTTTGTCCAGAGATTGTTTCTTTTGCTTCTCACACATGAACCTCTCAACATAAAAATAAATGTTGGAAAAGAAACAGGAAAGTCTGGGCGTTGCTAATTTACATGTTCCAAGGCTAGGCTGAAGTTCTTTGGATTTTGTGATGTAACGCCAGTGGGTGCAAATTCAGGCCTCTAGGGAGAAATGTGGCTTTGGTTTTCCAGGAGACAATGCAAGGGCTTGAAAGGCCAGCATGAGCCAGACTGTTGGGAAAATGCTCTTATAATAGAAAATCTGAACACTGGACACGAGTTCTCATGAGTCTTCATGTTGCTCTATGCTATTTTATGTTTTGCTGTTCTGGGGTGTTAGTAGAATACCACTAACATTGTTAGCTCACCTATGGCTCAGATACTTCTACGAATAAGTATATAGCCCAGCTTTGTGGCTGATACTTGCCAGCCAATGGATCATCAACCTTATTTTGCATCACTGCACCTTCCCTCATAAAAGAGCATAATGCTTTGCATTTGTAGCTTTTCCGAGAAAATTATTTATGTGCATTTAAATGACAGCTCTATAGCCATAGTGCTTAATTCTAGCTCACTATTAAAATTACAAAGTTATGTACAATACCGTATAAAAATATTATATTTTGTTGGAGAAAGAATTCTATCCTGAAAAATTTATCTACTAATATATTTATTAGAGAGACTCAAGTATTGATAGTTATATACTGTCGGTAAATTTATGCTTTCTACAGTTTATATCTGAAAGTATGCAGAATCTATTTCAACTTTGTTACATTTGTTTAGTGCCCGTTGACTACCGGATAGTATTGCATGTTTGTGAGCGAGATCCTCTCTCTCCAGAGGGCAGCAATGCTTAATATTGCTTTCACACTGAGCCTAACAGGTGTGTTTTGAGCTTATTTTTAGTTGGCTATGTGCCATTTGGTATTCACTTTAACTTTTGCAGTTCTGAGTACCCTACTCATCAAGATTAATATATTCTATGCCCTTATTTTCTGTTCTCCTTGTTTTTGATAATACATCATTATTATTATAAAATGCATTTGTGGTGGCAACTATGTAAGACATTTAACAGGTAAAAATATAAAGTCATAACCTAAATTTAATAATTAGAAAATGAAATTATATGAATTTCAGTATAATTCTAAAAAAGGATGATATAGGATAGCACACAGTGGGACAGGTGACATATTATGTCATAACTGGGGGCACAGCTGGGAGGTGGTCATCGTCCCAGTATAAGAGAGCAGCCGTAAACCCAGTGCAGGCGTGTGGCCAAACTGCCCATTCTCGGGGTTCCGCCACAGTATGGACATGTTGTAGGCCTAAGGATAGCCTTCCATAGCCTTCTTGATTGATGGGTATGGAAAGGGCAGTTTCCACACACCATTCTGTTATTGAATAGTCTCAACCTAACCTTCTCAGGATTACAGTCTTTATTATATAAGTAAGGAAATGAAGTTTCAGAGACATTCATGACTTCCCAAAGGCTGCATTTGTAGCAACTATTGTAGTTACATCAGTAACTCAAACCTTCTCCCTTCTGGTCTCTGGTTCTTTCTACCACATCATCCACATCTTGAAATCACTGCCGTTAAATAGTATCTATGGCAAGGTTAAAATGAAATAAATTCAATGATATGAAATTATTCATGATGAATAATTAATAAAATATATCTCATTGTGTCATACACATCAATCAATATGGTTTACCAATGTAATGATATATAGTAGTGTATGGTAGTCAATACCATATGCAATAGTTAATGTATTACTAATGTCTCATCATTAGTAGATATTAATAGGCATGTTTCATGAGCATCATGATATGCAGAACTACATGTTAGATTCATGGTACATAATTGATATTATAATGTTGACTATTGCATGATATTCATGAGTAAGCATCATTCACTTATATCATGAGAGGCATTACTACATTTTTGTATATATGATATGTACACATTTTTGTATATATTATAAGTAAAATCATACCATTCACTAGACTTTTTCACTCCCTAAGCAAGCATTGGAATGTGACCTGCACGAGGACAGGGTCTAATCAGCCATCAGAAAACTGCTCAAAAATTCTTGGGAAGGTTCCTGTGTTCATAAGTCGGGAGCCTAGCTCCTTCTGCCTGAGTAGTTTAGTGGGCATCTATCTCTGGGTGTCCTTGAAGCCTGAAGGTCTCACCTGCCACCATGACATACCAAAGAGACTGAATAAATGTTTAGATGAACACATGTTCAGTTAGGGACCCAGCATCTCCAGATCACTACTCTCAGTTGGTGCTGTACCAAATCCCTCGCTCGAGGCATTCTTACAGGGAGCCTGGGCATAATGGAGAGGGGCCAATGGCAATTATGGAACACAGTCTTCTGAGGGGAAAATGAAGAGCCATGGGATAGGGCTGTACTAAATATTTAATGGTTGGCCCGAGAAGGATAATGGGCAGGTGTTCCGAGTTCTTCTGTATCAGTGGTGTCCTTCCCTTCTCTCTGTTCGGCTCCTGGCTCTCCCTGGGCTCTACCTAACTCCTGAAACTTGCCCCATCTCTTGCCAGGAAGAGGTCTAAGCAGACTAGCTTTACACTGAGGGGTGAGATACAGAATCACAGGTGGACACATACTAAAAGGACACAGAAGCAGGACTCAGGAATTCTGTCCACCAAGCCTATGTAACCTTAGAATGTTGTGTCCCAGGTTCTTCATTTTAACAATGAAGATATTTGATTAGATGCTCTCTGAAAAGCATCCCCCCTCCTCCACCCAACCAGAGGTCCTTGACAAGGTATGCACAACAATCAGAAGGCCTTGCTGTACTTTAATTCATGTAAAACATATGCACACACACAGTTTAGTGAGATTTATTAGTAAGGTACTTTCACCTTCTGTATTAAACATGAAGTCTGATAAGTTCATGAAGTCATCCTAGAAAAAGTGCTGTATACCTCATTGGTGCATATCACTCCAGTCACCTTCAAAGTCCTCCCCTTGGGAAGTTATGTGCTGACACCAGTACCTAGTCTACCCATCAAAGCAAATTTGGAACTCTTTTTCTAGAATGGCCATCAGAGCTGTCTTACCCTTAATGTCCTGAATGTCATCAAAATGTCTTCCTTTCAATATTTCCTTTATATTTGGACAAAGACAAAAAAGTTTTTGAGGGGCAGATCAGGTGAATAAGAAGTGTTCTAATACAGTTATTTGTTTACTTGTTAAAAACTCCTTCACAGACAGTGTTATGTGAGCAAGTGCATTGTCATGATGCAAGAGCCATGAGTTCTTGGCCAAGATTTTCAGCTAAGATTTTCCTGTTTCTCTATTGATTTTTACTTGGTCTGCTGTGCTTCTCATAAACAGCTGACAATTTTGAAGCAGAACTGGATGAATTTTTGCAATGTCTTCATCGATTCTGCTTGTTACTGGCTGCCCTGACCTCTCCTCAGTGACACTTTCTCTTCCCTCAGAAAAAGTTTTAATCCATTTGCATACTTCATAACATTATCCACATAAACTTGGGCTAACATGTCCCTGATTTCACTTCCACTTTTCTCAAGTTTAACAGTAAATTTACAAATGTTTGTTGCTCTATTTCAAGCTCTAACATGCTCATGACAAAATACAAGAACACACAAGAATAATGAATACCACTCAGCAAGACACCATTATATGTCAACAAAAACACAACTGTGAGATGCTGATATACTAAGGTTGTGAAACCTTATGGAGTTGTTTGTACGGTGCTGCTAATGTAAGTGCAGGGCGGCAAGTTCGGGAACTGTATTGTGACACCTCATAGTTTAAATTCAGTGCTTTTAGCTAAATCATGCTTTGAAGCTAGACGTAGTTTGAGAATCTAATCTTGAGTGTAAGATATGATATATTTATACAGATGGTGTCAAAAAAGTACACACATTTTAAGAAAGGAAAAAGAACTGTATTAAAATTATAATACTCAAGTCATGTTTACTTTTGCAATTATAAGAGATATAGATACAATATACAGGATAACATGTTATATTGGTATATATTGAGTTTTAAAATTTTATTATACTTTTTTCCTTTCTTAAAATGTGTATGTATTTTTGGCACCTGTTGTATGTCTTCTGGCAAAAATGAGAATAACTTAGTGAGGAGAAAGTATTGAAAATTCTTCTGACCCCATAACCTAATAGTTAGCCCTCTGTACTTTGAAAATTCCCCTTAAGTATCCTCTTAGAATCTCTTGCATTTGCCAAAGAACAATGTGAGAATCTTGGTCTCACTTCTCACCATCCACTTTTCAATTGTTTTAGAATGATGCTAATTTTAGCAGAATTGAGAGTTATTTATGGAAAACCTGTTAAAATCTAAATTCTGGGCTTTGGATTTTTTTGCAAGACACCCTAGCATTTCTAATAATGCCAAAAATAGTTCATAAAAAATAATTTTGCAGGTAACTGAAGCAATACAAGCTGTTCTCTTGGCGGAAGTTCAACAGCACATGAAGACTTTGAGGAAGACATCAACAAACAGTCAGCCAGTGCCTGGTGTCTCTGCTGTGGCAGAGAATGGTAACCGTGAGGTGTTGCAGATGCTGCCAAAGGCGGAATGGGCGGAGGAAATAGAGTTACAGCATATGAGAAACACTTTGCCTCTTCAGAGTAAGTACAAAATTTACTGGCATGCTCTTGCAACAGAACTTTTCTACTACTAACAGTCCTTGACTCAGGATGGTTCAACTTAATGATTGTTTTAACTTTATGGGGAATGAAAGCACCAGGTGTTCAGTGTGCTCCTTGACTTACGATGGCATTTTGACCAACCCATCACAAGTTGAAATTATCATAAATTGCCTTAAAATATTTTCAATTCACAATAGGTTTATCCAGATGTAACTATGTTATAAGTTGAGGAGCATCTGTACTTATAAAGAGTTGAGAATAATAGTTCGCGATCTATCATCTCTGTGGGAACCAAGCCATTTTCTGAAATATTCTATCAGTTTTTTCTTACGAACTGTCAACTCTTTGGAGAACTTCTAGTTTCTAACCATTTGCTAGGAGAATAGCTTATATTATTTGTACCAAGGTGGTAAGGTTAAGTGATTAAAAATGAAAACAAGATTAAAAGTCATAACTTAATAGGATACAAGAATATCCTAATAATAATGGGTAAATTTGTTTTCACCTTGTACCTTAAAATCCATGTACGAATTTTTTTTTTTCCTGAGTATAAGAAATAGCATACAGAGGGCGGCGCTGTGGCTCAAAGAAGTAAGGCACCAGCCCCATGTGCGGGAGGTGGCAGGTTCAAACCCAGGCCCAGCCAAAAACCACACACACAAAAAAAAATAGCATACAGAAAATTAAACTGGTTTTATACTTGGACCCTATGATTTTGTAACAGATCTTATCCTTAGAAGTTCCCGATAATCGTATCTACAGTTTAAGGCTAGCAAATGAATCTGAATTTATGTTGTAAAATTTTATCTGATTGTTTTAGTCCATTAGCTGTGGCTTAAAAAAAAGAAACAAAAAAAGTAAAGTATAAATTTAATTTTCAACTTTATTAGTAAGCTTTTGATGAATAATAATTTATAAGATGGTTAATTGTGTGTTGTGTCGGGAAAACGTTACACATTTACATATTACAGGTTGTTAAATTGTTGGATGTTTCTTTAAACTCTCACAGAGATATTTTCTTTTTATCTGTTTGGGACTCAGAAATGTTGCTATATTTAAAATGTTAAATCTTAGAATAGTTTTTATTCCTGGAAATGTGCTATAAAGATTTCTTCTCTTTATGTGTATGAGATTACTGGTTGGAGACTGTTAGATAATGAGAGATAAAAAGGCATATTCAAGGAAGGCTGAAGATCAAAATAGGTAGAATATTTCTTAATGTCAGCCAGGACAGTCAGCGATGATGGTAAAATCTGGAAATAATTTGGTAAAGCTAGATGACAATTTTAAGTCATTGGTTTGTTTGTTTATTTTCCAGAAATTAGCTTTAGTTATCCTTTTTGGAGGAGCTCTATCATCTTACATAATTGTAGTTGTATTAAACCTTTCAAGAAAGAAGTAGAGGGGCTGCCCCTGTGGCTCAGTGGGCAGGGCGCCAGCACCATATACCAAGGGTGGCGGGTTCAAACCTGGCCCCAGCCAAACTGCAACAAAAAATAGCTGGGCGTTGTGGCGGGTTCCTGTAGTCCCAGCTACTTGGGAGGCGGAGGCAAGAGAATCGCCTAAGCCCAGGAGTTGGAGGTTGTTGTGATGCCAAGGTACTCTACCAAGGGTGATAAAAAAAAAAAAAAGAAGAAGAAGAAAGAAGTAGAAAAATTTCTTTTTAACGAATTTTCAGTGACTACCCTTGAATTCTTGATTTACATGGAGCTCTATCCATGATGAAATTGATAGGCTTCTTCCAATTCTCTCACAGCAACTAGCATCATTCATCGTGTATTAACTCTGGTTAGGGAGGATTTCTGATCCTTCTCCCTAAGCTGGAGAGTCTGCCTTATCCTGGGTAAGAAATTCTTGACCAGCTCTCAAAGTGATGAGTTTTGCTATCACATGGCTTACCCATATTTGAAGTTTCAGAAGATTGGGCCCAGTTCTGTGTCCTGTTCATTCTCTGGCATAAGAACCGTTGATACTTGTGGGGAGTGGGGTGTGGCCGGCAGGGCCCCCACAGCCTGGGTAACGCTCGGGGAGGATGCCCAACCACTTTCTCCTCCTGTGACAACATTATTTACATCTGCCCAAAGTCAGGTCGCCCAGGCATACTGTCCTTGTTATCGCTTGCTATCAGGAGGCACACAGTTTTTCTCCTTAAGGTTGATCTCTACCCCATGTGTTAAGATTTATGCAATCTTGTTAAGATGTTATATGAATAAAGCTGTCTCCACGGTCCAGTGGTAGCTGCGGTCCTCAGCTGCATCAGCCCTCCCGACGCCAGCCTGGCTCTCGGCTCCTATCTGTCTTTGTGTCCCTCTCCCTGCCTTTCAGGGCTTTATATTTCTTCATTTCCCACCTTTCCATCAGGTCAACTCTCCCTCCTCTCACCAGGTCATGAGTGGTCCCCCTCTCGTGCCAGTATGGGACAGATATTAGCAGGTGCCTGTTGTCCCAGATAGTCAGGAGCATGGCAAGAGGATAGCCATGAGTTCAAGTCCAGCCTGGGCAATATACTGTCTGTTTAAAAAAAGAAAAGACAAGGAAGAGAACTATTGATTCTATGGAGTTTAGTCTTACTATAACTGAAGCTATTAGGCTTTAAAGTTTGGAGTTATCTATCTTTTGGTTAATTATTGAATACCTCTTTCTTTGCCTATGGTAACAGAAAATTTTTAATTAGAATTGGAGCACCAAAATATTAAAGCTATTTTAATGTTGGTGGATGAAACTTAGAGTATTTTTTTAGAAGAACAATAACATTTACAAAATACAGAGTGCATATTCTCTTCAGAAATGCTACCTGGATGAAAATATTAACTGCAATTGCAATTAAAGGGGAAACACATAATACATTATATAATGAAGAAATATCCAAGCAATATTACATTTAGTATTAGTATTGCCCTTTTGTTCTCCTTGAGAAAAGACTTTTCTTTTCCTTTCTTTCTTTTCTTTCTTTTTTATTTTTTGTAGAGACAGAGTCTCACTTTATCACCCTCGGTACAGTGCTGTGGTGTCACACAGCTCACAGCAATCTCTAACTCCTGGGCTTAGGCTATCCTCCTGCCTCAACCTCCCAAGTGACTGGGACTGCAGGCTCCCGCCACAATGCCCGGCTATTTTTTTTATTGCAGTTTGGCTGGCTGGGTTTGAACCCGCCACCCTTGCTATTTGGGGCTGGCATCCTACTCACTGAGCCACAGGTGCTGCCCAGAAAAGACTTATTATTTTTATTAAATCATAGTTGTGTACATTAATGCAGTCATGGGGTATAGTGTGCTGGTTTTATATACCATTTGAAATATTTTCATCAAACTAGTTCACATAGCCTTCATGGCATTTTCTTAGTGATTGTGTTAAGATGTTTATATTCTACATTTAGTAAGTTTCACATGTAAGACCTATTTTTTTAACTATCTAGAAGAACTTAGTAACCGTACAGGAAAAATTTTTAGACTTCATTTACAGAACAAAACCCCAAAGCTCTTTTCTTTATTTCCCATGTCCTGGGATAATGTTTAAGGAGATAGCACAGGTGTTTTTTACTGGGTGTGATACTGCTTTAGATTTCAAAGGCACTTTTACTTAGCCCAAGGGTCATTGCACCATATACTATTTACAAAATATTCTTAGGCAAATGGTATGTGTTGTTTAATTGTATCACCTCCTTGCTCATTTGCCCTGGGAGTTCCCCTCCTCCCCTGTCTTTTCCCTCCCAGTCTCTTTGGTTCTTTCTTGGTTTTTTGGTGATTCATATTATTTGCAAACCATTTGGAAAGTAAAAGATGATGGTTCTGTTATGCACAGGTACTCACAAACTTTTACGCTGGGACACAGTGTATCTGGATTTATTAACATTATGGTAATGTGACAATAATAGATCATAGGAAAAATAGTGGTGACAATAATAGATCAAGGAAAAATAGTAAGTATTGAGTTCTTACTACACTCCAGTTGTATGCTAAGTACTTTATATTATCTCATTTTTCCATTAATTCGTACATTAATGCTAAGACTAAAGTTTCCAACACTTGAATCTTTTGTGTAAACAACTTCATAGTTTTTAAAGTATCCGTGTTTGGGGAGATGAACTTTCAGAGGACAACTGGAAAGAATTATTTATTCTCTGGGAAAAAGCAATCCCCATGATGCCACCTAAGTTTGTCCTGAAAAAGAACCTTTTTGATTCTCTTACTTGACATAATAATTTTGTGTCTTTCTCAGACATATTAGACAGTCTTAAAAAATGTTTTAAAAGTAAGTCCATCTCCGCACCAGCCATCTTGAACACCAGCAGTGGTATATATCTTGCCCTTTGAGACACACTTCCTATTATTATCTCACTTTCGAAAATGAATGCATTAAGAATTAAGAGAGGTTAGATGTCTTGCCTACAGTTACAAAATTATTAACAGCGACAGAGCAAATGGAGAGATTCTCTTAAACACTGTGATCTTATCCAGTAAGGCTGTGTTCTCCATATTGGCAGTGTGAAGGAAATTTGCCCTAAATTGGCTTGATCTAAAAATTGAATAATTTATTGAGTGGTTTTCTTAGATTTTTATTCTTCCCCCATAAATCATACTTTCTATTACCAAAGAAAATGCAGAGTGTTAAATCATTGCCGTCTCAGCCCTCCTAATAAAGAAAATCACCAGGTTTCTGGAATTACTTACACGAGATGAATCCAGAAAGCAATGGAAATCAAATGAAATGAGAGGTGAAGCATCGTGTGTATTTGAACTCTATAATTTTGAGTCGTATTTATTTTTCAGTGTTTTCACTTATTACGTTTCCCAGCATGTGTTTTATTTGAGGTCTTAATATTTGTGTGTCAGTTATTTATGAGGCAATGGTGGCTTTTATCTGAGTTTATGTTTTTATAATGGTTACTTTATATCTTCCTTGAATCTCTTTGATAAGAAATTGTACGATTAACGTCCAGATGTAAGACTAAGGTTCATTGCTTTACGAACAGTAATAGT